GGGGGGGGGGGGGGGGGGGGGGGGGGGGGGGGGGGGGGGGGGGGGGGGTGGAATGATTGGGTAATCATACAGAGAATTTGTGGGAAGGGGAAATCATATATTAGTTATAAACAAAAATGTTTCAAAATTTTTGTTCTGCTGATTTCTGTCAGAACAATCAGTGCAAACAAAACCCACTCATACTTTCAAGATCAAGAACCCATAAAGAAACACACATTAACCAAACCAATTTCAACATAAAAAATCCCAACAATCCAAGCAAAATATCAATTAAAAATCGAATCTTGATGGGTATTTACGCAAAAAAGAAAAAAAATAAGAAATGGGCATGCAAAAAAACAGAAAATAATTGGTTCCTGAAGATCATACTGGAAATTTGTGAGAAGGGGAGGATGAAGGAGGAAAGTAGATATGGAAGGTCATGGAACAGCCTAATGTGGGACTAAAGTGTTTGTATCTCTTGTTGTATCCATCAAACATTTTTGCGCTGCTGATTTCTGTTGGCTTCTCCATTTTCTGCCCACAAACAACTCTCTCTCTCACTCTCTCTGGAAGTCTATCCTGTACAGTGAGTGATCCAGAAAGTGGAACGATAGGAAATGATTACATTGGGGGTATTCCAGGAATTTAACAGAATGATGAATCACTCTTTTCTTCTCGTCATATTGCGGAATACCCCCTCGTTTTCTCTAAAATTCATTTTAAGTGCCTAAAGACCAAAATCTGTTTGACTTCTTCCTTAAATTAATTTGCCTTTCCTTTTCTTTTAAAATGAGGATGATAGATACAAATTATCTATATTGCAATTCAATAACTTGTTCCTTAGGACTCTCAAATTTTGCAAAACACGAGCTCATGCAATAATCTAGAGTTTGCTTTCCATATTATCATCTGTTATCTTTACAATATGCTGACACGCATTTAATCAAGTCGAAGTGTCAACTATGAACATTGACGGTGTAAGCATGAATATAGTAGAAAAGCTTTCAAGCCTGCTAGTGAGAATGAGAGAGAGAACATCATGATAATTAAGTTAAATATATCAAAATGTGTTGAATTGCCAGACTTTAACAATACGGTCCACACCTGCAGTCGTGGAACTGTAGATGTTTACCATTCCATGTGGGCTTATTATTTGAAAAATAAAAAACGAAGACAACGTCAATGAAAAGAAAGCGAATGCTTTGCACCATCTGAGCTTTGTCGGACGCACAAAGCCTCATCATGTTAAAATGTTGTGACACGACTGCGTTATCACCTCTAAACTAGGCTGAGTTTGCCCAAGGCAAAATTTATCCATTTCTAGAGATTTGAACTGAAACAATATGATGCAGGGATATATATTTGGTGAAAACAGATTCAAAAGTTCAGTCTGAAATATTCAAACCCCAATAAACAAGTGTTTGTTGTGAAGAATCAAACAGTATAAATTTTGACTGGTACGTCTACTTTTATATGCTCGTTCATCTCTTATTTATTCCTCCATTGCACATCAGGTTTCAGTCAAGGCTGCCCCCAAGAAGTGAAGGCCTGTAGAAGACAAGGCTCTGTGCAATCTCAATGCGATCACGGGGATCATTCAGGTTCTCATCCCGTAGTGCTTGAAGAATATCCCGTGTTCCTTGTTCCCTGTAGATCGATTCAATACTCAGTAAGCAGAAATTCGAGTTTTGCAATATTGAAATATATGTTGCATGCAGTGAGTCCAAGATTGCTATCGGGACTAAAATAACGGTCTATTCCGATGTTTTTTATTAATCCACCGGACATCGAAAATTAGTTCACAAAGTCATTCACTTTTGAAGGCTTCAAGTATTTTTTTTCCCTTTACTATGAATATATATAATAAGAAAAAAAGGTACCTGGTGATTAGAATTTTATACAAAGTCTTTAAAATTGGACACAGCTCAACCGGGGCAACTGGCTTGTTTGCTTCAGGGAGCAATACATTTAAACTTGACTGGCTAAGAAGTTCATAAAATGCTTCAACTGCAGAAACTCCCTGGTTTTGGAAAAAGAGAAGAAAATAATCAAATATAATTATTTTCTATTGTGAAACCAGCATATGAAAGAGTTCCAAACTTGTTTCGAAACAAAAATATTGCTAAAATAACATTAAAGCTTAGTTAAAACATGCTCTAAATCATCTAATACATAATTAGGAATATGATATAGACCTGAATAGTTCCTTTTCCAATTATGCTATCACCCATATCTAGGCTCAGTTCTCCCTTGGCTATCATTTGACCATACCATGCATTACGACCTTTCAACAAGGTTACATACGTATCAGCTAGCAAAGGTCCTGCAAGCTTCTCGGGTTCTTCAGCTAACAAATGAGTGATAAATATCATCTCGGATGTGCAATGTGCAAAATATACTGATTTGCTCGTAGCACTTTCGTTTGTCAGAGCTGCTACCATTCCTGAGCAATAATGTTGAGAAAACATCAGAAGTTGATGTTATGGATTATACCCTAATTCCTTCTTTCAAGAGCATTCATAATGCTAAAATAGGCAAAGCGTGCAAGTGTATAATGGTTCATTCATTAATCTACAGTCAAGCATGAGTTATGATGAATGTGTACAACCTCAGCATCCAGGAAATCAAGCATGCCTCAGCATATTTCAAGAGCTACCCTGCATTCAACCGAGTGTATAGGATGGTTGATAGAAATTTAGGCCTTTTCCTCTCATAATTGTTTCAACCAATTAATAAAGTTAAATTTAAGAATCAGAAGTGTCAAAGTTGCAAGGAAGAAGAATTGACTCTCAAAAAGATATTAGAATTACCAGCTCCGATGGCGTAGACATTCTTCAATCCTCCCATAACTTCATGCGTGACAAGGTCGCTGTTGTCCCAAACAATGAAATGGGGTTGCCTTAAGAACTTAGCAAGCTGTATTCTCCATTTTCCGGCTCCACATATTCGAGCATTAGCATATTCCTTGTTATAGATCTCTGATGCAATATTTGGTCCGCCAAGATAAAGAATATTCTCCATTGGTACTCTGGCTGCCAGGTAATATAATATATAATTATGGAAATAAAGAATAACAGACGAGGTCACAATATCTTTTAAATAAGATGCTTTGCTTTGTTCTATTTGATTCTCGTTCTACAATATAGAACTCGAGGAGACGTGGGGAAGATATGAAGCATGAATAGCAAGATGGAGGGGTAAACATCCAACACTTCATCTCCATATCATTGAACTCTATTGATACAAAAACGGTCCTAAAATAAACATAGTATTAGTTTAAGAATGTAGCAAAAATGACCTCGTTCGAGTCATATGCTATAATAGATATCAAAAGTGCAAATTCCCAGTGGATATGAGATTATATTTCTTTGTGATGTTACATGCCAAAATGGAGGCAACCATCTCTTACTAACAAATGAAAAAACACTCAATCAACGAGACTGAGAACCGCCATTTCTAATGCTCTACTTGAAGAAGCGTGAGAATCCTTAATGCTTAAAGAACACAATCTAGTTTAAAGAAAGGAAATGGAGAGCAACTTTTCATTATTCAACGGAAAACAATCAAAAGGAAACTTTTCATTGTTCAATTGAAAACATTATCAAAAGATATTTTTTAGGCAGACATTTCTGTACATTATATCGCATACAACCAATTTTAATTTCTTGAACAAACATAGCACTGTAGGCAAAACTATCATCTGCCAACCTCCCATTAAGTTTGTCCTTTTTAAAAGAAGAACGAAAGGAAGGTATGTAACTATAAAATCTGGTTATTTTCATCTGAGCTTAGTATTATACGTATAAATAGACAAATTAGTTTCCTTTGCTTTCTTTTTTTTCCCCCTTCCTCAAGTTCTCAGACAATTTACGGACTCTTTAAGTATCTCGTGAAGGCAGTCTGATATGGAAATTGAAACGATTAACTGTACAAATTGCTATCAGAATATGTATAAGCTACTTTATAGACAAAATAAGCTAATCCGGAAAAGTAAGTCTTACTGGCCCGATTAATCATCTGCGTAGGAGTAATGATACGAGGAATAGGGTCGAGTTCAGCTTCTATGCCCTTTGCCAATGATACGATGATTGGCATGGTGATTCTCTCTTTCCAATACTTGCTAATCTCTTCAAAAACTTCACGTGTTTCGGTCGAAGGCAATCCATTAATTACAATATCAGCATCCCAAACAGCCTCCTGCAAATTAGTCACAACCTTCAATGGACATAATGGTGTATCAATCATGTTCAGGCAGAATCCATCTTTCAAAATCTCGTCTGCATAAAGCGTACGATCACCCAATCGTGCCTCAACATACTTCAGATATGCACAGCGCCTTATCAACCTTCTCAGTACATCTTCCCTGGAATTGATCACTTCAAATAAATGTTCTGCAGTGGCTCTATCAACAGCTCGTCCCGGCCTTCTCCATATTCTAATCTGAACCTTATCTCGAAATTGACCATAGCTATCTTGAAGCAAAGCTGCAAACACACTTCCCCATGCACCAGCTCCTACGCCAACAATCTTCAACAGATCACCATCTGCCTTGCCTAATAATCCTCGAAATTCATCAAGCTTCTGTTCTGTACCATTATGGTTCTGTATAGCCCCATTCAAATAGGACTCACTGCCCATTACCTTAATACTGCCCACCATCTTTTTCCAAGTAAAATAAAAACCAAAAACAACAAATTTACACTCCAACTAAAATCCAAAAATCTGAAACTTTGCTAAAGAATCTATTCACTTTTCACGTTGAGAAATTTCCCAAAAAAGAAGGCTCTTACTTCAGTTTTGCTTAAACTAGATTTAAATCCCCCCACCTTCTTATACATACATGTGCACGTACATATATAGTCTCCCCCTGCAAAAGGAAAAGCTCAAAATTTCCCAACTGCAGATTTCTTTTACGACTTTTTTCAGGTTGCTTTCTCGATCATATACAACTAATTCTTCACCAATGCACCCTCAAATTTCCACTTCCCAGATACTTAGGGCGGCTACAGAGTAGAACCTTTATTAGTGAAGATTTCACCTAAATCTGAACTAATTTTTTGATCTCTATCTACACAGAATTCCAAATCCCCCTCAATCCATTCTCTTTCTTAATTCCTAAATTAATATTGAAAGACAAAACACAATCAGATAAGTATTCTATAAACAAAAGATCAAGCTTAGTTTACAGTCAAATTGCAAATTAAATATATTTATATATAAATACAAGAAACATTGTAAATTCCGCCAAAGTTTGTTCATCTACCAAGCAGATAAATCATCAATAAAGAAGGAAAATAAATTCCACAACACAAACCTTTACTTGTCCGTTAGTACAAAGCAAAAGTCAAAACTTCAAAATCCGACGAAGTTTTATCAAATATTTGGTTCTGCATTCTTGTTTTACAGGAATATTCAAGTACAAATTTACTGGAAGAAGACCCAGAAAAGCATGAGAGTTGCATGCATTTGTGAAATTAGAACAGCTCACAATGATTTTTTATTTTTATTTTTTTTGGGTCACAGAAATTTCAAATTTGTGACCCTTTACATTCAATATTCATTCAGCTTTGGCCTTTGTGTGTGTGTATAGTAATGATCTCTAAGCACCGTGTTTAGGTGGCATAGTGGATAGTTCTTGGGAGATCAAATTCTTAGGTGGCATAGTGGATAGATCTTAGGAAATCAAATTCAGAGAGAGAGAGAGAGAGAGAGAGAGCATTGATTGATGCCGTTGAATTGGGGAGCACGCCAAACAATCCATAATGCATTAAAGGTTTTTGATAGGCTGCCAACTCCCCAATGGCCATTAATTTGGAGGTGAGCTGGTTAAGAGCACAAAATTAAAATTTTCCTCAAAGGAGAATATTTAAATCCACTTTTTACTTTTTGTGGACATAAAGGAAGATGTAAATTTACTTTTTCCTTTTTTTTTAAAAAAAAAATTCCAATTATCATTTCCTTTGCATCTTTCCACTAAAGATGTTTCCAGTCACTTTGAGGATTTAAATCACAATTTAGATCTATTTTACACAAAAATTGAAAATGCTCTAAGCTACCGCACGTTTGTCTATTTTAGTTAAAAAGTAGAAGTTAACATATATTATAGTGAGTGTTGCTATTTGAATTCAACTTTTTGAACTTTTCCAAACAAGCACTCATTTAAAAGGGCTAACAATGTCAAATAAGCTACTTATTTTTAACTTTAATTAATTTTAAAATATTTAATTTAAATTTAATTATGTACTTATAAGTAAATTATTTAAGCTTAGCCAAACATTACATGATTTTAGTGAGCCATAACAATACAACGTAAATCTCTTGAAACTCGATATCATGTAAATCTCATAAATCATTCATCTAGTATATGTATCACGTCCTTTTGAAGGCGTCTTATGCAACCAAATTTAATGATAGTTTTAAGCTAACAATTAAACCCCAATTCGGCTACATACACATGTACATGTCTAAATTATATTATTAATCATTATTCGTATGCTAAAAATTAATACAATATTTTTATGACTAACAAGAAAACCAAATATATTATCCTCTTTAGGCCAAAAATTAGAGTTTCAACATCCCAATATTGTAGTTTACAACTTGATAGAATTCACATACAAGAATTATATAAGAAGAATTTTGAAGTCCCTTTTTCTTCGAGCCAAAACACACCAGTCAAAATCTCAACCAAAACAGAAGAAAGGGAAAAGTATGAGATTCGAGCCTCTTGTTCCAACTGACCTTCCTTCAAGCAAGGTCTGGACCGCTTGGGAGCAGTTCATAACCATCATGTTGTGTTTTAGTCTTCAGGTCAACAGGTATACACTTCAGAACAACTGCAATAGGCAAGCCCACTGCCCCGAGTCCAACGCTGAGAAGCCACAGCTGCCAGTTTAATGGTACAGTGCTGGCGAAAGTGCCCAGGAATTCGACTATAATAACTTGAAATATGACCGTGGCTGCGATGATTCCTATGAATATCCAATTTCCAAACATTCCACGAAAAATGTTTATTTTCTCAATGTCGCGGCTATTTATCTCATTGAAGACCTGAATGAAACCATGGAATTGGAAAAAATAAAATTCTCACGAAACGAGTACATGTTACACGGAAGTCCCAGTATTGGGGATTTTAGGCAAATATATGACATAATCAAACACAAGGAATTTAGGTGGTTTGGCATTTTGCCTACTACTATGGGGTAATAAGTACTTTAACCAAAAAAAAGTGGCGAATACAAAAGAGTATCATGTAGGCAATCCCGAACTCTCTACAAAATACCTACTAGAGGATAATATCTAAAAGAGTACAAAGTTCTTGAACCGAAATCTCCCACCAAGATGTCTACGACTGTCTCACAAACCAAGACAATCGAAAGTACAAAGTTCTATTTTGAATGCAAGTCAATCCTTTTAGTAGTGGACAAACAAAAGACATTCCAAGCGAGATTGTCTTCGAACAATAAAACAATATATATATACAACGCTAAAAAATTACTGGATGTTCTTAAAAGGGAAGGAAGAATTCTTGATGTTACATGTTTTTTGGTGCTAGTTTTTGTTTCTTGCGAACATGATGATAATGAAAACATATTGGCAAACATTCGTGAAAATTAAGTTACGGAGATGATTACCTGACAGAAGACGAACGTGTTGAATATGAAAGTATTGAGTACTGCAGTAGCATCAGAACCACTAAGCCCTAATAACTTCTTCCCAACAAAATTGAGGACTAGAAGAACAGCCAACTGATAAATGCTCTGACCAAGAATATTCCTCCACATGGTCCTGGTAATGAAACCTTCAGTCCTCATAACAGGAGGCCGTTTCATCAATCCTTCATGTGGCGGTTCAGTGGCCAGTGCAAGTGCACCTAAAGTGTCCATAATCAGATTGACCCAAAGCAATTGTACAGCTGTAAGGGGAGCTGATCCTGAAATTGATAGCAATAGATAAAAGTTGCTCACGAGTCACTTAGAAATAGTTACTGTTAAGTAACTTTTTGTTTTTGTTTTCATACATATTTGGATATTTCTTTCTTTTTCATGTTAAGCACATATTGAAGAAACGAAAAGCCAGTTGTACAGCTAATCTTACCTGAGACACATGCAGATATGAAGTTGATCATGAGAGCAACAATATTGACAGTCAATTGGAACTGCACAAACTTTTGAATGTTTATGTATACAGAACGCCCCCATCTGGCTACATTCACTATTGTTGCAAAATTGTCGTCCAATACAATTACATCAGCGCTTTCTTTTGCAACCTAAGAAAATTCATTATTTTCAATGAGAGAGAAAAAAGAGTAATTAAGAGCATTCAGATAGTGAAGAGAGCGATATATGGTACCACTCATTAGAATGGACTAGGCTTTCTCCTGCCATCATACTTATTATCTCCTAAATAATGTGGTCTTGCATATGATCACTTATTGCAGAAGTCATAAAAAATCACAATTCATACAACAAAGCAAAAAGAAAACCAAAATCATCTACAGGTGTATAACATCCATTGCATGGCTTCTAGATTAGATGAACTTGGAATGAAGAAGCATATAATTAGTCAGTGATGTTCTAAAAACTTCAAATTTTCAAGAATAACTCAAGAAAGTCGATATATTAATTTCTTCCAGAAGGAAACCAAAGGAAAAACAAAGAATAATTGGAGATTGAAACTTGAAAATAATACGAGGCCTAACCATTGCAGCAACAGAGCAAGTGAACTGACCTCGGTTCCTGCTATGCCCATAGCAAGCCCAATGTCAGCCTCATGTAAAGCCGGGGCATCATTGGTCCCATCACCAGTAACTGCAACCACCTCTCTAAGCATGCCTTTCAAATTCTTTACCAAAAGATGCTTGTCTGTAGGAGATGACCGAGCCATTACCTACACCCACAATCTAAACACTTTAGAAGAAAATATATAACTTTCACATGTTGCCTCATTTTATGTATGTATGTACTCATGGACTTGGTGAAATAAGAGCATCTTTGATCCCATTGGCCGAGCTTAACTCCGTCAAGCCTGTCCTTCAAGTGAGAGCTAGAGCCCTTCTTCGCCTCTTCCCGTCCGAGGGACAAGTGAAGTGAGAATTACTTTAAATAGATCGAGTGCACCTCAGTAAAAACATGAGGGGGATGCTCGGCTAAGAATATCGACCCAACTTGCTTACCAAGTGAAAGGAAGTTGACTACCTTCTTCAATCAGCAAAAGAGAGACCCTTGAGCATATTCTTCTAGATTCGTTAGAGTGATTGGCTCCGTTTGCGGATCCAGGAGTTTCAGTATAGTAGGCGAGTACAATGGGAATAAATCAAGGTTATTTTATGGCAGTCCAGCTATTTGACTCGGAAACAGCTAGTCAACTCATAAGCATAGCTAGGGGAATCTCTTTCTAGAAGAGCTTTTAAATCATTAATATTCATGGAAGCCCTTTCAAAGGGCGGCAAAAGGTCTTACGTTAATATTCCCGTGAATCGATTAACATTTCCGGATATGCATGTATGTGTGTGTGTGTGGGGGGAGGGGGGGAGGGGTCCACCTTGATTTTTGGTATGATTTGAAGCATCTGATCAGAAGACTTTTGGCGAAAATCTGGACCTTCAATGGCAAGATCATCATCGAGAAGTATGCCACATTCTTTGGCAATCGCTATAGCTGTGTTAATATTATCACCAGTGACCATTCGCACATTAATTCCAGCTGCTAAGCAAGTTTTAACGGCTTCCTTTACCCCAGGACGAACTGGATCCTTGATTCCCACTATTGTAATCAATGTATAGCCAGAATCAGGGATGTTATTTTCTTGAAATCCATCGTCCATATCCTTAAAGGCCAAGCATAGAGTGCGCAAAGCTTCACCAGCAAATCCATTGATAACGTACATGGTATTTCTTACAAGTTCTTCAGACAAATGAAGAGGTTCGCCATCAGGGCCAATCATCTTGTCACACATTTTTAGTACAATCTCCGACGCACCTTTGCAAAAAGCTCGGACTTTCCCATCCGGAAGAGACAAAAGCACAGACATCATTTTCTTTTCTGAATTGAAAGGTTCAACCTTCAACAAATTGCAGGGCCGGCGTTCATTATCAAAATCACCACCCAAAAGCAATCCATATTCTAATATTGCTGATTCTGTTGGTGTGCCCAAGATGGAGTTCTTTCCATCTTTATTCTTGACCACCTCAGACCCCGTATTATTAAATATCCCCTGCAAGAGAATGCTTATTACATTTTCTGATATATCTGAATCTAATGTTGCCCTCCCTCCACTAGCTTCTACTTCTTTCGCTTTCCCACAGATCCATATTTTATTCAATACCATATGGTTTGTGGTCAATGTCCCTGTTTTATCAGTGCAAATGGTAGTGACAGAACCCATTGTTTCACAGGCAGACAGATGTCTCACCAATGCCTTGTCATTCATTAACTTCTTCATAGCGAATGCAAGACTCAACGTCACGGCCAGGGGCAACCCTTCTGGAACTGCAACAACAATTATAGTCACTGCTGTAGCAAAGTAATTTAAAAGCTTCTGTGCATCACCAGAAGTCCATTTGGTAAATTCATGGCGATGTCCTTTCTCCACCAAAAACCGGACAGTCAATACTAAGAAAGTCGTCGCAGCAAATACCAGTCCAATCTTACCAATAATAGTAGCAACACCATTTAGTTTCACCTGCAGCGGTGTCTCGTCTTCTCCTTCCTCACTTAGAGTTTCCATCAACTTACCCCATTCAGTTCTCATTCCCACAGTAGTCACCAGCATCTTACCAGAACCATCTAGAACTTTTGATCCCGCTAAAAGAAAAGGTCTTTTTTCATATATATTTATTGGCAAACTTTCACCAGTCAAGCTTGACTGATCAATCAACAGGTTGTACCCTGATATAAAAATTCCATCGGCTGGAACATGGTCTCCGATGGATAGATGGACAACATCCCCAACAACCAGGTCAAATATGGAGACTTTCTGACGAATTCCGTCTCTTGTGACCTGGACAAATATCTTTTTCTTCTCCTTGTCTAGCTCTTTGAACTGCAATGATTGCCTGTAATCACTAATTGCAGTAACCATCACCACCAAAAGTATACTTATAATAATTCCCAACCCATCATACATGCCCTTCGGCCACCCTTCAGTGGCCAGCCCCACACCAATAGAGACCACAGCACAAACCATGAGCATGATAAGTGTTAAATCGTGTAAAGCTTCCCACAAAAACATCCAAAAACTTTTAGAAGGTTTCTCAGTATAACGGTTGGAACCAAAGACATTTTGCCGGACAGGCACATCACTTGATTTGACTCCTTCATCCACTGAAACATACAATTTTTTTGAGAGTCCTTCAACTCCTTTAAGTTTTCTTAATGTCTTGATATCATATGTAGCGACAATGGGTGCAAGTTTATCTGGGTGAATTTGAAACCCTGCAACTCTAGCCTCTTCTGGGAGCCCATTTTGAATATCTGCATCAAAATCTTCTTCCTCGTGTCCACTTGGCTCTTTAGGTGCTTCCGAGTGTAAACCTTGTTCCACAATTGCACAAGAAAAAGAAAATCAAATACTAATAATGAGAACAAGATTGGACCAAAGCAACTTGTTCATTACCAAGATGATTAAAAATATACCATCAAGAAACCTAAGTGCTGCTTTATAAGCCAAGATGGAAACTCGTATTCTTTCCTGGTAAACGAACAAGGTAATCAAGGAGCACTATTAGACAAAGAAATTTCATTAGACAAAACCAGCATGCTGCTGAAAGTGCAGATAAATTATAAAGCCTTTGAGTTCAATTCAGCCTTTTGTGAATGACAGGAACTTTGTGAAATAATATCAGGGACAAAATTGTCTTAAGGAGTGAAGAGAGGAAGCACATTTTTCTTCTCAATAAAAGGTGCATTACTTGGATAACAAAGGATAGCTTCCTTAACTAAACATCCCCAAGCGTTACCTCACTATTTGATGCAAGAAGGTTTTGTTAAATAAAAAGCCGCACAATTATAATAAATTATGCACCAGTCAGTATTCCAGAAATAGACTAACTGCTTAACAGTTAGCAAAAATGAGCTTGATCATAATAAGCTATGCAAAGATCTTCTGACACTGATGGCTTGATTTGTATTTCTGCTCATCACTTCATTTATAGTGAAGTAATACGTATCAATGTGCTGAATAGTAAACTAAGAACTGACGTATAAGAAGCTTCCATACTTGATTTCCTGTTTGAATGCTTGCCAATTCATTATAATTTTTTTAACTCCAACAATCAGATTGGAGGATAGGATCAAAAGTTAGAATCTTCACAACCTGGAGATTTATGATCAATGTTCTTTGTCCAGTGACCGTCAGCCTGTTCTCTGAGAGTATTTTATTTCCCTCGTAAGGTCAAAACTTTCTTCAACATGTAGATTATGGAAGTGAAAAGACGCTATTTTAATAACATTGATTACAGTACTGTTGCAAGTACCAAATAAAAATGTTGGCAAGTAATATTATTTTCTCGACATTTTAAAACATGAATAGGGACGTAACATTTATTTAATATGATGATATGTTTAGGGATGGCACTTTGTACAAGTTACAACATGTCAAGGAAAGCTTGGACCTTTATCTTTATTCTATATGTGAGCATTAGCGCAAATATTTCATTTGAATATTTTATATCATCAGCATGGAAAAGTCATGCCTAATTATAAATATAACACTAAATGTTTCAAAAGGTTTTAACAGCATCATTTCTTACGCCAAACTTCATGTTCCAAAAAGCAAATGAAGATTGTATGCATTCAGTAGAATTGCAGTAGATGAATTCGATGATATTGAGAGCATAAAATACATCTAAGATTAAGCCCAAACAGACTCGATGAAAGGGTCAATTTTCACTCTTACAAGGTTGCTTAAAAGAAGAAGATTACAACTTATATGATTTAAGTCGAAAAGATTGGAAGAAAGGGTCAATTTTCGGTTACTTTTAAGTAACTGAAGACTAGTCATGATTAACCAACAAATTGGTAATGATTCTGACAATTAGATTTTTTTTTTTCCTTTAGGCACCTCTTAAATTGGCTGGGCACGACAATGCGGAGTTTATTGCAGGGGATCCCCACGGCATCCGCCGTCTAGTCTGGTCCAGGCAATATATACTATATTAACATACGTGAAGCCATCTGGCAGGATAAGTATGAACGAAGCCAATACAGACAACAGTAGATGAGACTTACTCAGAGAGAGGAAAAGGGGAAGAGACCCACGCCATATTTTCAATTAACACACATAGGGCGGGTGGGGTGGGTAAATTTTTTTAATTTAGGTGGTCCCACCTCATGTGGGAGGGTGCACGGTTCACAGCCCATTTGGCTTAATTCTATTTTTTCCTCGCACCCATCAATGTCACCAAGAAATTTCAAGGAAACTTCGTCCTCTGACTTTAGCAAAGTAAAGTCAAAAACGTACCATATGTTAAATTATGGTGTCCCCATTCACCTATTTTCATTGGGACAGACATTACAAAGGGCAATGTGAGAGTCATTAATTTTTTGTAATGTATTATAAAATAATATATTGACAAAGAATGTGTGGTTTAAAAGTAATGAAATTTTATTAATTTGTGTGGGAAATATTTTATTGTGTAAATGTAAGAATGATACTGTAGCAAATAATTTAAAATTTTAAACAATGACAAAAGGAGATAGAACAGCAACTCTTTCAGCCTCAGGGACCACACAGAGAAAACCGACACTATTGTAATGTTAGTTAGGGACTTTGATAAAAAGAAACATTTGGCCAAAGAAAACCTTTTTTGGATAATTATAAAACAAAGAGTAACAAAAAATTATTTATATTAGTATGAAGCAGTAACTCTTTCACATGGCCCACATGAATTACATCCTAGAATCACTTGGGTGCATAATATTTCAGTCATATCTAAAAATATTGATTTTTCTATAATTTCTAAAAGTAAGCGTAATATTTCATTTCAATTTTTGACTATGTTATCCAATTATAAAATAAAATTAACCACATTAATCGACATATGGGTGCATGCAGATCCCATATGCTACTGCTTAAAAACTAAAACCCCAATCTGATAAACAAAAAATTACTTATGGACCAAATTAAATTTTGGCATTAATTTGAAACTAAAGTTCCTCAAAATTCAACAATCCGAATTTAAAATATAGCCCTCGTTTGAGCCACATTATTTTTTTCATTTTCATTATTCTACTCATTTTTAACCATACATTTTTCAATAAAATAATATTTTTCATTACATCAATAACCGTTCCTTCTTTTTCAATCATATATTCCCTATCACATTAAAAAAAAATGTTCTTGGGTTGATAACGTGCACAAAACCGGGCGAATTTTGCTAAATGTACAGCCCGAGCTCACAGCTCGGGTCACAGCACAGACACAAAGGCGCGGGCCCCGCGCCTGAATTTGATTATTTTAATCGTGGGCCCCGCCTCTGCATGTGAGGGGGCTGTCATCGGTGCTGTGCACCGTGCTGTGAGTGTAGCAGCTCTCAAACCGGGCATAATATTATTGGTCAGCTCTGTTAGTGGTCATGGTCAGTGGGCTAAAAAAGTAGCCTCTTTTGCTGAAAACTAAACAGTGACATCGTGAACGCCCCTGTTTCTATTTTAAGATATAACAAACAAAGGAGAGAGGAACAAAAGGAAAACAATTATGCTAATTTTACAATTATATTGTTTCATTTAAAAAATAACTTTTGAAAATTGCCAGTGAATTGTCAATAAATATTATCAAACTAAATTGTACATTTAGCATGATTCAAAGGAAAAATGCTCCTCTTATGCTTTCAGTAATGCTACAAGTATAGAAAATTTTGATAAAAAACTTTTGCGGATGCGGGGATTGATTGAAAGATGGAAGGAGAGAAAAGGGGAGTCCAATCATTCTGTCAAAAAAATCCCTCAAATCATGACTTTTAGCTTGTGCTTTACCGAAAAATGATTCCAAACACAAAAAATGAATAACTCTGCTTTACATCCTGGGAAAAGTAACCTCATGAATTACCAATTTTTTTTGTAAAAATGAATCAATTTTTTATTTTTATAATTTCTAACGGGCATTTCCAAACAAAAGAAACTCGTATACAACAGCATAAAATCAAACTTTTATTTCCAGAAATATTAGGCATATTTTCCAAGTGAATTAAAGTCGGATGGAAATTCCATTGCATCAAAAAATCCTACTGTTTTGCCAGATTTATAATTTTTCAATATTGGATTTAAAAAAAAAAAAATTCCCCAAGGCTCTGTAGCATTATCCAAACAAAAGAAACTCGTGGAGAAGTACGAGCATAACATCTAAATCCTTTTATCTGTTCGAGAGAGAGAGAGAGGATCCAATTATACGTACACTGAGTTTCCGCATATGTTCTTTACTTGCAGATCGCTTTTCGAGATCAGCGACGTACCGGAAGCGACGGCGGCGGTTCTTGACGATTGTTCCGACGGCTTTGCGCCACCGCATGAGGTTATCCTCCGACCGGTCGTTTGGCAGCAAATCAAAGTCCTTTGAGATTAGCTTTTCCATTCTTGAGTTGATGTAGTGCGCTACTTCACTCCCCCACTTCGTTTAGATTTAGGTCACTGTAGACAAGAAAGTATATATTTCTGGAATAAACCGTACGTATGGAAAAAATTTCCCAAAAGAGCTTTTACGCCCCTACTCACACGTGTGGGTTCACCGGAAATTAAAAATGAAAAAAAAAAAAAACCACCCCTTTGTGAGTATATGTAAAACACCGCACTCCCCTTCTACAAATGTAACATTGTTCTTTATTAAAAAGGTTGAACCCCAACCTTGAGGGCCCCCCACCGACCCTGCCCTGGGACATTGTGGAGGAGGTAAATCGCAGGATGTGCCTCCCAAGAGCCAGGGTGGAGAGCTTATGGATAGGCCTTGGGCTTTTAACCCTATCGTAACTCCCGCTTGCAACAAAGTCAATTCCACCTTGCGGGGAATCGAACTCTGCACACTACCGCGCTGAGCCCTAACCGCCCTCCCCTTTGCCACTGGGAGATATGCCCTGGGGGCNTTTGACCCATATTAAAATTCTCTGACTCACGTTAAAATTCTCATTCTCATTCTTCTACTCCTTTTCCACAACACATTTTTCAATAAAATAATATTTTCTATCACATCAATAACTTTTCTTTCTTTTTCAAGCACACGTTTTCAATCAAAAATAATGCTCTTTGTACAATATTGAGTTACAACCTCTCACAAGGGAGGAACGGCTCACGATTATTTCAATCGCGGGGCCCACCTCCCTTGTGAGATGTTGTAACCCCATGCTGTAACACATGTGGTGTACATGTAGCATGATTATTCCATCAATCTATTATTTCAAAATACATTCTTTCAAAATAATGTGGCTCAAACATACTCTGAATCGTGTTAACCCTTAGAGTGCAGGTCTATCCACTTGCAAAATGCAAAATGTACATTCAATGGCTTATGTTTGCAAAAAATTGTAAATGAGAAAAATATGTTTTTTTTTTTTTGAAATTGTTAAATAGTGTGTTGCCACGTTACACAATGTAAACAATGATATAAAAATGTGATATACATGTATCATGATTGTTGTCCACTTCGCCGAGGCCCATGTGGTCTGGCAGTGTAGCATTCACACCTAACAATGCTTTAAAAGCATTGTTAAAAATTGTTTGATTCATGGAAACAATTGAACCACAAACCACCCAGATTTTGGATTGTATCAAATTAGATGAACGGTTCGATTCGATATTAGTGCGATTTGACATTCAGTCAATTCGAACGAGTTGAGTACTAGACTAACTCCATTACTCCGTTAAGTGGGTGCTCCACTAACTTTGATGAGAAGGCACAAATGTAGCTACACAGTCTACACGCAAGTCCATTTTATTCACGAGTTTATTGACGTTTAGCTTTGTTCTAGGGTAATTTGAAGTGGTCGAAATACTGCGTGCAAATTCGAGCTCTAGCAACTAATTAACTGACAAGAACAAGTTTTTTTCGAGGGATCAAGTGATTTTGGAGGACTCTGTTAAAGATGAAATTTTCTATGCCTTTGGTGACATCCCCAAGTTGCGTTTTTTGGTAGGGTCTCGAGAAGAATATATCAAATAAGTTCTTGAATTGTTTATTTTTTAGATGGTGTACTGAAAGAGGTCTCATTTACAAGAGTGATCCGATCTTGATAGAGAAGATTAGAAGCGGGAGGCGGTAGACTAAAGATAACTCGACCTACGTTAGTTCTTGAGATACTATCAACAAACAGAATAAAATGGCAAAGAAGGATTTTTGTAGCCACATTATTGGATCCGGTACGGATGAAAGGAATTATGTCATGTTGAAATGAAGTCGAAGTGTGTTTGAGCCACATTATTTTGGAAGAATGTGTTTTGGAATAGTAGATTGATAGAGAATATGTGTTTTGAAAAATAAGGAAAAATTATTGATGTGATGGAAAATATTATTTTATTGAAGAATGTGTGGTTGAAAATGAGTAGAAGAATGAGAATGCAAATTTTTCTATGAAAATGAAAATGGCATGCAAATTATGTCTTGATTATTAAATATTAAATTAATTTTCAATAACTTAATCAACTTATTGACCAGATAAAAGTCATTGGCCGTCTCTTGAAAGTACCAAATTGTCTTTTAATCCTTGTATTAGTCTCGTGCATGGCCAGAAAAAAGGCACATTCCAAACACGTAGCTATGCTTCGAGAAATCATATGATTCAATAGATAAAATAAAAATAAAAATAAAAAAATAGAATAACTATTTAATTGAGACGAAATAGCGTTCTTATTTTACATACTTTTGTGGCTCTTCTTTATGTCCAAACACGTCTTCTAATAGTGACGTATGAAACCCAATTTTGACTCAAATTAATTCGGCAAAATACAAAATTCCTTTTCTAGGTACCATCAGATTATCATCACTATTCTTGTATATGCACACAAAATCCATTATTATCAATATTGTTATTGTCGCCATCATTCTTATATATATATAATGTGTCATAATCTTATAGAAATTATCGCTACAATTTAGAGAAAACTATATATTTTCATTATATAAATCTAAACGCGTTCGTGCATATTCGTTAATGTCATCAGTTCAGATGGATAGCGTTATTCTTATATAAAGGATGAATCGCATTCTTAGCGGCCCCCACCTGCCCTGCCCTGAGCCTTGGTGAAGGAGATAAATCGCAGGTTATGTCTCCAAGGGTATGGGGTGGAAGGCTGCTTGTACACTTGCACTTACCAAGGGCCAAATCCATATTTCAGAATTCGAACCCTTGACGCGGCAGCCTCAAGCAAAGCTGGAGTTTTTCCACCTTCCCCTTTTACAATTGCCAACCACCAAGTGGAGGTGGTCATGGTGCCACTGCCCGCGCAGGGCCACCTCAACCAACTCCTCCACCTCTCCCACCTCATCTCCTTCTACAGCATCCCTGTCCACTTCGCTGGCACCACCACCCACAACCGCCAGGCTAAGGTTCGAGTCCACGGCTGGGACCCTTCAGCCGCCACCAATATGCATTTCCATGACTTCCCAACGCCTCCATTTCACAACCCTCCACCTGATCCCAACGCCACAACCAAATTTCCCTCACAAATCCTTCCATCATTCCATGCATCCATGGAACTCCGCCACCCCATTTTCTCCGTGGTAGAAACTCTCTCAAAAAAAGCCAGAATAGTAATTATAATTTATGATTACTTAATGGCTTATGTTGTTCAAGACATGCATTCCATACCAAATGTTGAGTCCTATTGTTTTCAGAGTATATCAGCTTTTTCTTTATACTCATTTTACTGGGAAGGTGTGGGAAAACCTGAAGTGAAAAATGAAGCAGAAATTCTTAAAGAAGTTCCTTCCATGGAAGGGTGCTTTGTCCCAGAACTATCAGAATTTTCAAAGTTGCAGCAGGAGGCAAAGAAATTCCATTCTGGGGACTTGTACAATACAAAAAGGATAATAGAAGGTTTTGTTGGATGTTCGACTCAAATTCAAATGATTTATTATTATTATTATTTTATTTTTTTTATGTGTGATGATGAATTTCTTAACAGGTTTCTACCTTGATTTACTTGAAAAAGAAAAGGTTTCAGGAACAGACAAAATCTGGGCCATTGGCCCATTCAATCCTGTGGTGATTCCAGAAAGGAAAAATTCCAACAGCCGCAGTCATGAATGCTTACAGTGGCTTGACAAACAAGCTTCAAATACTGTGATATTTGTTTCATTTGGCTCAACATCTTCACTATCTCATGAACAAATCAAAGAGTTGGCATTAGGTTTGGAAAACAGTGGAAAAAATTGATATGGGTATTGAGAGATGCAGATAAAGGAAATGTCTTTGAAGGAGATGTTAGGAGAGCTCTATTACCACAGGGGTACTGATACACAACCTCAGCTATTAAGGGTCTGTTTGGACTGGATTAAAATCTAATTTTAATCTAAATCAAAGTCAAACAATCAATATTAACCACATCTTTCATGAATTCCACCCCTTTTCAACCACACATTTCAAAAACTTCTATAACATTTTATTTATTTATAAATTTTGTTTTCAACACTGATTCACGCTTTTGTCGGATTTTTTTAATCAAAGATTTTAACATTTGCACAATTTTCATAAATGAAATGGCGACGACGTTTGTTGCTATGGTACCATGACACTTGCACCACATGTGTAAACGATAAAACTGTTAGATGTGCTATTTTTAGTGCATGCAGATTTTTAACAAATAAGTTGATAAAAGTTGGTGAATTCTATGAAATGTGTGGTTAAAAAATTGTAGGTAGAACGAAATGTGTGGCCAAAAATAAAATTTGATCCGCTTTGCAAAAAGTAGCTTTATCAAATAAGCCCTGTATATTTCTTTAAATTTTAATTATCGACACATTCATTCATGTACATACTGGATTCCTTTTTCTCATCAAATATTTGTCACGTACACAATTTTTATAAATAGATGTAGAGAATTTTTACTCAATATATTTGCGTCCTTCGATACCATGATGATAAGTGAATCATTTATACATTCTTCAAATGGGTTTTATTAAAGAGAGAATATATTTATTTATTTATATTTTACCCTTCGACTGGTGGTTTCATAAGTCATTGTGGATGGAATTCATGCATAGAGAGCATAACCATGGGAGTGCCAATAGCAGCTTGGCCGTTGCACTCAGACCAACCTAGAAACGCCGTACTGTTAACAAAAGTACTAAAAATCGGCCTTGAAGTAAGTGATTGGGCCAATCGAGGTGAGGTCGTGTCAGCGATCGTCGTCGAGAATGCTGTAAGAAGATTGATGGATACAGAAGAAGGAGAAGAGATTAGACAAAGAGCAGCAGCATTTGGAGATGCTGTCAAGAAGTCAGTAATGGAAGGTGGAGCTACTCGAATGGAAATGGATTCCTTTATTGCTCATGTCACTAGATAATAATGATTTATATTGTTCACCATATTTCCAATTATAACCGTACGACGTCTGTAACTTATTCTATTATGAACTAAACGAGACTGGATATGATAACTGATAAATTTTGTCATGTATTTTTTTTCTCGATCTTTGTTACGTCATGTCTAGCTAGTTCCAATGTATTAAATACTTCTAAAGTCAGTGTACATTAAACTTTTTAATCAATCTAGTGTTTGTTGTAGCTAAAAATAAGATTTATAGTAGATTTTGATAGAAGTTGATGCAATGTCTGATTAAAATGTTAATAAAAGTTGTGGGTCCCACAAAATATTTGATTAAAATTAATTGGCTTCTAATTGTGATTCGTTGTGGTTTATTTGGAAACTAATTCGCAAAAATCAGAATTTTTGCAGTGTCAATATTTTATATCATAGTTCAAAATATTTAAATTTTAACAGTTTCAATAATTAGCAATGAAATTTATATACTCGTTACTATTTTTCAAAAGGTTAGAATCAACATGTTATGCATGTCCCTACATGACATGTCATGTGGTTGCCATGTAATGTGAGCACTTCTTTTTTGAGGAGAATTTTTATTTGACTATCGCATCGCCTATCTGTGTCCGAGACGATGAGGCCACTTGCCATCACCTCGTCAAGCACTGAGAGCACAACTCAACAACTTGTCGACCTTTATTTCTAAGACGACACATCTCATAGTAGACTTGTCAACTCTTCATTTTGAGGCGACTAGAACAGATCCGACCCTGAACTAAACTAGACAGGCCTTGAAAGTCTAAGTCGATTGAGAAAAGTGTGTGGGAGGTCACATGCATATGATGAATATTTTGTGGCATTGTTGAGTTTGACTTATAAGTCGTTGAGATGATATTACGTGCCAAACACACAGAGAATCTTAATTGCGCACCTCTTTGCCTATGATGATATTACGTTCCAAACACACAGAGAACCTTAGTTGCGCACCTCTTTGCCTATGAATACTCAAACTAAGATATTAACATTTGGTAATCTCATTTTACAAACAGAGGGGATTCAGGACTGGATAAAAAATAAAAAAATAAAATATAAAATCAGGCTAATATGTAAAAAAAAATAATAAAAATAATAAAATAGACTGGATAAAAAAATTAAACCAGGCTAATATGTAAAAAATAAAAAAATCTATAAGAAAAAAAAAATTTATATGGAAAAAAATAATGGATTGGGGGCCGGCCACTAAATCCGCCATGTGTCAACAAATATAATCTTGACTCTCATATTTTCCCTTTCTTTGTGTTTCTCCCACATCAAATTCTGTTATCCGTTTATTTATTTAAACGTCGAGTACGACTGTGATATCTCTCTTTTTCTTTGAAGAAGTGTCGATTTTGTACCTCTAACGTGTGCATGTCACTACACGAGCTGATGACTAAGTCCGTCCAAATTTGGAGGTCGCATAACCCCTATATTTCAATTTCTTAAATAGAGGCCCTAAGTTTCTCTTGGAGGAAAATAACATAAAAAATAGTTAAGACGGAAATAATATGGCCCCAATTTAGTGGTGCAGACCGTGCTAAAACCTTAAGAAATGTAAGAATAATACACAAAGTGGAAATTATATTTACCTAGACATTTCAACTTCACAATTTAAAAATAAGATTTACAAGTTTTTTATTCAAAATTTAGATTATAATTAAATATTTGATAACTCTATTCTTTAATATTAATAATATTATACAATAAAATAAATCTACAAACCACCCCCAAACCCTAAATTATTCCCATCTTTTCTCTCCCATCTTTTTCTATCATATCCTCTCTATTCCTTCTCTAGCTGCCAAACCACCACCAAGCGGTGCCGCTCTCTCCGACAAAGCCGCACACAACATCGCTTAGCTGGAGAGTGTAGCGCTTGCCGTTGTGAACCCTAAATTATTCCCATCTTTTCTCTTCCTTCTTTTTCTATCCTATCCTCTCTTTTCCCTCTTCGGCCGCCAAACCACCACCAAGCGGCACCGCTTTCTCCTGCGAAGTCGCGCACAGCATCACTTCGTAGGAGAGAGCAGCGCTCGCCCCTGTGAACCCTAAATCATTTCCATCTTTTCTCTCCCTTCTTTTTCTATCCTATCTTCTCTCTTCCCTTTTTGGCTGCCAAACCACCACTAAGTGGTGTCGTTCTCTCCGGTGAAGCTGCGCACAGCATCGCTTCGCCGAAGAGAGCGACACTCGCCTTCGTGAACGCCTTTCTCAACGGCGAGCAGCGTTTTGCGGCACTTCGTAGCAGTGTTCAGTGCCACTGTGAAGCGCAGTTCACGTCGTTTTGCATGCGCGAGGAGATTTGTTTGGTGCAAGCGTGTATTGAGACTTGCTGTTTTCAACTCCCTTATTCTCGCTGTAGGTGTGAGTCGATCTAACAAGTGGAATACATGATAACATGCGATGATTTTTGGGGCTGGTTTCGAGTTGATTTGGATGATCAAAGTTTTTCGTGGTTTTTGTTGGCTGTTTACAAATGGCGGTGGTGGTGGTGGTGGGGTAGGTTGGGGTGTGAAGATTGTTTGTGAGCAATTATTTGAGTGTCGTGACCAATAAATTCTTAATTTGTGATCAATAAATAACACGTGACCTAGAAGATTGTGTGATTGTGATTAAATTTGTAGTTGAGACTTATAATTTGGTAAATTGTGACCAATTAATTTGATAATTAGTGATCATGAAATAAGTTGTGACCTATAAAATTTGTGATTTATGATCAGAAAATATATTGTGGGGGTAGCAATGTGGTGGTAATGGGGTGGGTGGGGGTAGGAAGGTTGTTTTTGACCAATGATTTGGATGTCGTGATCAATAAATACATAATTTGTGACCATTAAATAACACGTGATTTAGAAAATTGTATGATTGTGATTAAATTTGAAGTTGCGACTCATAATTTGGTAAATTGTGATCAATTAATTTGATAATTAGTGATTGTAAAATAAGTTGCGATCTATAAAATTTACGATCGCAAAATAATTTGTGACCTATAAGTTTTTGCATTTGTAATCGAAAAATAATTTGTGTCAATTAATTTGATAATTTGTGACCGAGAAATAAATTGTGACCTATAAAAACATAATTGTATCATAATATGTTTAATTAATAAAATATATTTTTAATGAAATATTTCATAAATAAAATTAATTAATATCTGATTTTTGAAATAATAAACATTGTTTCTTAATTTTGAAACGGATCCTACTTATTTTCTTACGCGTGGCCATGAAATTTTCCCATACACAAATCTCCCATAAATGTGGCCCAATCATATAAGGCCCAATTTAGCCTTCAAATTCCCGTCATTTTGCTTAATTCTAAACAAATTCATCATCGTCTAACCAGGGAGTCGAATTGAACACATAATCAATCGGCATGGGACTGCAATGGTGTTTGAGCAGTACCCTTAAGCTCTCCCCACTTTCCATTCTCAGACCCATCTCCCAATCCACCAAAATCCCACTCCGGCGCTCACTTCTCGTCAGAGCCCTTTCCGCCGCCGCAGCAGCCACCGGACCAACCACAATTGCCTCCGCCATCACCCCAGATGATTACAGAGGTACCTACTCTTTTATAAACAACTATATTCTTCAAATATAGTTTATGTTCTTATAATAGATATGTAAATGTTATTGGGCTTTGGCCATTTATAGTTGCAAAGGCGCCTCAATGGAAAGCGGCAATAGATTTTAAGTGGATAAGGGAGAACAAGGAGGCCGTTGCGGCCAACGTCAAGAACCGTAACTTCAATGCGAATATTGGCCTTGTTGTTGAGCTTTATGATAAATTAATGAATGTTCAAAAGGTCTGTTTCCACTATTACACTCGTAGTGTTGTTTACTATATACTTCAGTTTCATTATATTACTTTGAACTGCAACAAGATTTCTTCTGGCATTCTCGTGTTTATCCGTGTAAATAAAAGTACTAGTCCTATTCTATTGTATGTTGTTTGCTCCTTAGAATGATAGTTTTGGGATGAAGCTTGTGTGCAATTTCTTTGATTTGCTTTGCTGTGGATACCTAGAAACTGAATTTGGATCATAAAAATACTACAGTGTCCTCTTTTTACGGATTGTGTATAGTTACCTTATCGATATAGTAGATGTTTTAGATAGTTTTACGCAGAAGAACTTGTTACACTTAACTCAATGTCAATATACTTATGATTTATCCAGTAGTTTTTGTCTTCATAACAAATAAAATTTGAACCAGTGGATATTCTTATAATTCTACTATGAAAAGGGTTTTTCTGAGTCCCGTCTCAGTAGTTTTATAACTTTTCTCTGCATTTTGTTCATTCCTTGGTATATATCCCATGCCAATGCTAAAAACTCTATACATACTGATTTTGTTGTGGTTATGTAGCTTTGATTTCAGTTTCTATCTTCTGGAATAAACTAAATATTTTATATTTGATAAAATTGGCACAAGCTAGCTTCTTTAGTTAATTTACTCACAGATAGCAGGAAGTTGAAGGGCTTCGAGCGGAGAGAAATGTCATTGCGAACAGGATGAAGGGAAAACTGGAACCCTCTGAGCGTCAAAAACTCGTAGAAGAAGGTTTCTATTGCATTTCTATAGTTTACTTGAATTTTGATTTCAATCATCTTATTTGCTAATTTTAAGTATGTTTCATCCAGGTAAAATTCTCAAGGAAAGGCTTGTTACCCTGGAAGGAGATCTTTTCAAACTCACTGATGAGCTTCAGCAGGAAGCACAATGTGTGCCAAATATGACACATCCAGATGTTCCAGTAGGAGGAGAAGACTGTTCTACTATAAGAAAAATGGTATATACTTTTTCTTGCTCCAATATCTTCCTAGACATGAACTGCTTCACCTTCCTCCTACTCCCATTCTCTCTGACCTTTCAATTTACTGTTTGTAGGTTGGCAAACCTCGTGAATTTAGCTTCTCTGTGAAGGATCATGTGCAGCTTGGAAAAGATTTAAACATATTTGATTTTGATGCTGCTGCTGAGGTAATGTCTCTGACCGTAAGGTATTCAGTCATCCATTACCTAACCGTGAGGATTTTATTCCATGCCATCCTTCCAGTTACTTGAAATGACAATCTTTATGTAAAAATGACACTTAAAATTCCGAGAAGTCAGAAAACTCTACATTTATTTTGACAAGGAAAACAAACAGCCTTTAGATTCTCTGAGCCACAATCCCCTAACATAATTAATAAAAATAATAAACATGGACCCGTTTTACTAAGACTGCTGTTTTCATTCTTCATCTACTTCTTTGGTCTTAGTTATTTGCTTAGCCATAGTGTGGGTTTATTTTCAACACGTTCGTAATTTCATGCAAAAATGTGGAATTATTATCAATGTTTCACTTAAAGAGGGAAAAAAGGAAGAAAAGAATGGAAGTGGGGTTTTCAATGGTATAGTTTCTATCTGTTGCTTTTTTGGGTTGTAATGCTTATTGTCTCGTGGGTAATGTGATAAAGTAGAGAGTATCGACTAATGATAGCAACCATGTTTCTTTCTATGTTACATAATTTACATTTTTAACTTTAAATACCTGACTCCTTGAATGATGCTAGACTGCTGAGTGTGAATGAGATTACATCAATGTGCCCATAATCATTTTAGTGTGAAAGATTAGCTCTCATATGTTCCTAAGTCCATCAGTTAAAAACTCACGATGCAAAATATATGATTTCTTACGTCTCACATTCAATCACATCATATGCTATTACATGTCGCATGTCTGGTCATAAAGTTTGATGCAGAAGGGTAATGGAAATTGGGCTGTATTAAATTAATATTCATCTATAAGTTCGGTCATCTTTACAGGTGAGTGGGTCAAAATTCTACTACCTGAAGAATGAAGCTGTTATGTTAGAGTTGGGCCTCGTAAACTGGGCTGTATCAGAAGTTATGAAAAGAGGTTTTACACCTCTTATAACCCCAGAAATCGTCCGTTCTTCTGTGGTGGAGAAATGTGGTTTCCAACCCCGTGGAACAAATACACAGGTTATTATTCTTACAATAATGTGCAAGCCTTTGCAATGAGCATATTAAGCTGTCTCACCAAATTTTTCTGTAAGTTGTGTCTTCTTTATTGGGTAATTATTGCTTCCTTTGAAGTGTGGCCATTCTTTTTGTTAGTCACAATTACCATGCATTAAGAAAGCTAGTTTGGAGCTTTAACAATATCCAATTATCACTGGTTACCAAACAGATCCTGCTTCTGTCTTTCTTTTGATCCAACACTAATCAACATACTGCTCCAGGATGTACTTTGTTCGGAAAATATCCAAATATTACCTCTTTCCATGAAATTTCTTTTTTAGGCCGTGCTCTCTTCTTTCATCAAGTATTCTACAGTACTTTATGCTTTCTGTAATAATAATAATTTTTTGGTGGACATGCAAATTGATTGTTAAAACTTTCTCGAGAGGGTGAAGCATCTTGCATTTTTCTAAATCATTGTTTGTGAACTTCTAACTTGAATATGCTAGTCTGACGTTCTACTACGTTCTTGCTTTGTGTTTCTATTTGAGTTACTAGAGTTAGCAGTATTGGAGGATTCTAAACTCCAATGCGAATAGAGAAGATATCAGTTGAATATTACACTGTTTCACTGACCTGTACTTTAACTTAGTTAGAATATGGAAAATCTGCCTCATCCCCAGAATTATCCAATGGATGAACAGGATTGAAGCCTCTGCATGATGTGTAGAAATATTAAACTTGTTTTGGTTTTGGCTGATTTTGACATTAACTCTGACAGGTTTACTCCATTGAGGGTAGTGATCAATGCCTCATAGGCACTGCTGAGATTCCAGTGGGAGGGATCCATATGGATTCCATTATTCCCGAGTCATCATTACCTTTAAAGTACGTGGCTTTCTCCCATTGCTTTCGTACAGAAGCTGGTGCTGCAGGTGCTGCAACTAGGTAAAGCTTGTGAGGTTTTGCAAAATCGCCATGCTCTTGGCTTCATTTAGGTTCATCCATGCATTTAACAAACATAATTTCTGTACACGGCTTCTCTCTCCAACTCTTTAGTTACCTTTGTTTCTTACTGTTCTTAATTCTTTGTTTTTATCTTTCTTGCTGAGGCGTGATTTGATAAAATTGGAATCTGGTGACTTAACATACTTAGCCTTCTTTTTCAACCACACATTTTCCATCAATCTACCATTCCAAAATACATTCTTCCAAAACAATGTGGCTCAAACACACCCTTACACTGAATTATTGAGGATTCATCACTATAAATACCTAATGTTAACATGAGAAACAGAGGATTCTATCATTATTTATGGTGCCTGTGTAGCTATATTTGATCTGAAAACGTATTCTACTGACTTAGTTTTCAACAAATTTGCAATTGGGGACAGGGGCCTTTATCGAGTTCACCAATTTAGCAAGGTAGAGATGTTCATATTATGCCAACCGGAGGAAAGTAATTCCTTCCATGAAGAACTTATTGAAATTGAAGAAGACCTCTTCTCATCGTTGGGACTTCATTTTAAGTGCGCATCCGACTTCATTTTATCTGGATTTATGCTCTCTTTTGATGCATTAACCATACAGTCTTTTACAATGCTAATTTTCACAGAACTCTGGACATGGCAACAGAGGATTTGGGTGCACCAGCGTATCGTAAATTTGACGTGGAGGCTTGGATGCCTGGATTGGAACGTTACGGTGAGGTATGGTAAAAAATTTTCTTCTTATCTACTAATTGTACATGTTCGTAATAAATTAATTTTCTTTATCTCTAATCATCTTCATTTCGAAACTGCCCTTATCCCACATTGCTGATCTTCTTCAACAGATATCAAGTGCCTCTAATTGTACAGACTACCAAAGCCGGCGGTTAGGCATTCGATATCGTCCAGAATCATCGGTTCCTCCTAAAAAGGGTAAAGGCAGTTCTGCATCAACACAGTTCGTCCACACGCTAAATGCGACGGCATGTGCAGTTCCCAGAATGATCATATGCTTGCTTGAGAATTACCAGCAACAGGATGGTTCTGTTGTTATACCCGAGCCGTTAAGGCCTTTCATGGGTGGACTTGAGATTATTTCCCCAAAATCTAAATAGGGTGTTAATTTTATCTCTCTCATATTATTGTATTTGATTTAGGTTTTGTCAAGAATTGTAGCATATAGTGCATAAAATGATTCAAATTTAACTGGTGGTAATTTATTCTTTCCATGTCTCTTGTCAATTACAGTTGATATATTTTCCAAACTTCAAAATAAAGGATTTTAGCTTTTAACTTTTCAATCTTCTTGTACAATTAGTTAGTATATAAGAGTTTCTCGAGAAAGTTACCTTCGAGAAATTTATTTCTGGACAGCTTCCTCTAATTTTTTCGAACGAGATACTTTTAGAAAATTATTTAGGGGGTGTTTGTTTTTTATTTGAGAAAAATCAATATTTCATTTTCAACCACACATTTTTCAATAAAATAATATTTTTCATCACATCAATAATTTTTTCTTCTTTTTTAACCACACATTTTCCATTATATCACTATTTAAAAATCAATTCTTCTCTCAAAAATTCCTATCAAACAAGCACTTATTTTCCAAAAGTCTAGTCAAATAAGTCCTTAATGTTATATTAAAAAAAAACTCAGCTAATTTTATTAACTTGGTGTGGAAATTGAAAACTTCTAGAAATTAGTCAGTTTTAGAATTGGGTTGGACCAAAGAGAAGGATCTAGAATGATCGTTTGATACCTCTTTTTTTATTTTTTAACTCACATTCATTCAAGATAAATGAACCTATGGCTTTATAAAGAGTAAAAGTCTCTTTCGTGTAAGTAAAGTCAGAAGTTTTGAAGGTCAAAACCCCGTGTTAGTACATAGTTTTTATTCACGGTAATTTCCAGTATGGATAGGTCAATAGAACAAAAGCAAGAAAATAATTGGTACATGGACAATATTTATAAATAGGTGCTGACGAGACTTGATACAAGACCTCTCTGTATTTTCTCGAGCTTCCGTTCGTGTAAAATTAAAAGTAACTTTTTCAGTTAAATCAAAATCAAACATTAATTTCAACTACATATTCACAACAACTATCCATTTATTAATCACTCATTTTGAGAGACATGGTTTCGCTTGGTCAATCCTACTAATGGTTTCGCTTGGACAATCCTACGAAGGTAACATGTGAAATTCAAATTCTGGAGATTAGTTATAGTCAATATTAGGGTAAAATACAATCAAAATGGTCATCGTCACAAAAAGTTGACAAATTTAAAATACAACGATAATATTGCACATTCTTGTAATCATGGTTGGTGGAAAATAATTCAAAAACACTGCACACGAGAATTGAAAATTGAATTTGTGACTAAAAAATACAATAATACTAATGTACTTGTCCATATACGATTTTCTTATCTCTCTCTCTCTATATAGTACGAATCGAAGGGACAAAGGACAGAATAGAAGCAGATTGCGGCGGCAAGCACCGATTGAGCACCTAGTTACTATTTCCTCACAAGGCATTGTTTGATCATATCAACCCAATAAAATGGCCAGGCATCATGCTATAGAAAACCATAGCCAAGAAAATGGTGTCCAAAATGATATGGAAGTGGCTCCGGTGGTGGTGGTCATGGTGCCACTTCCGGCACAAGGACATCTCAACCAGCTCCTCCACCTGTCCCGCCTCATCTCCACCTACAACTTACCTGTCTATTTCATCGGCACCACCATGCACAACCGCCAGGTGAAGGCTCGAGTACAAGGTTGGGACCCTTCAGCCGTTAATAATATACATTTTCATGAATTTCCAATGCCTCCATTTCACAACCCTCTCCCTGACCCCAATGCCACCACTAAATTTCCATCACAAATGATTCCGACTCTTCACGCGTCAATTCATCTACGCGAGCCTGTTTATGAATTCGTAAACAGAATTTCAAGCACAGCAAGAAGAATAGTTGTCATCTATGACTCTCTAATGACTTATGTTGTTCAGGACATCGGGTCCATTCCGAATGCTGAATCCTACTGTTTTCGGAGTATATCAGCTTTCTCTTTATATTCATTTCACTGGGAATATGCCTGAAAACCTGATGTACATACTGAAGCTGAGGCGTTGAAAGAAGTTCCTTCCGTGGAAGGTTGCTTTGCACCAGAATTTACAGAATTTCAAAAATTGCAACTAAAGGCTAAGAAATTCAATTCTGGAGATCTTTACAATGCAAGCAGAGTAGTAGAAGGGCTGTATCTTGATTTGCTTGCAAAAGAAAAGACAAAAGGTACTGAGACACGAGGGTTCGATTTATGAGGAGTAGCAAAAATCCTTATATTTTGATTTTGTTCTCATATTTAAGTGATGTAGAGTTTTTAGTTTTTATCATGTAACAACAGGAACAGACAAACTCTGGGCTATTGGACCATTTAATCCAGTGGCGATACCTGAAAGAAAGGACTCAAACAGCCATCAGAAATGCTTAAAATGGCTTGACAAACAACCCAAGAACTCAGTGTTATTTGTTTCATTCGGCTCAACTTCTTCAATTTCCGATGAACAAATCAATGAGCTCGCCCTCGGGTTGGAACAGAGTGAACAGAAGTTCATATGGGTATTGAGAGATGCAGATAAAGGTGATATCTTTGAAGGAGATGTTAGGAGAGCTCCACTGCCAGAAGGGTACTGATGAACCAATACAAATTAATGAATTATCTTTAAGTGCATGTTAGATTCATTTTTTAAAGTCTGACACGTGCACAATTTTCATAAATGAATACAGGTACGAAAAGAGAGTAGAAGAAAGAGGGATAATTATTAGGGACTGGGCACCCCAGTTGGAAATTTTGGGGCACCCTTCAACCGGTGGATTCATATCTCATTGTGGATGGAATTCATGCATAGAGAGCATAAGCTTGGGAGTGCCAATAGCAGCATGGCCAATGCATTCGGACCAGCCAAGAAACGCCGTACTGATGACGAAAGTACTAAAAATCGGCCTCCAAGTGCAGGATTGGGCCTGTCGAGCCGAGGTCGTGTCGGCCATATCAGTCGAGAAGGCCGTAAGAACATTGATGGATTCAGAAGAAGGAGAGGAGATGAGACATAGGGCAGTAGAACTAGCAGATGCAGTAAAGCAGTCAGTAATGGAAGGCGGTGCCACTCGCAAGGAAATGGATTCGTTTATTACTCATATTACAAGGCAAAATTTTTCATCTCATATCTAGACATAATTCTGTAATTATATCATTACACTAAGTGAATATGCACATGTTTTTTCATGTTGAACAACTTTATCTGAAAGATTAAATTGCTATAGATAGAAAAAATGTTTATTGAAATTTAATCTTCAACATGACCACCAAATTTGTTATATTTACCACAAGCATGTCACATGCACTATTTTCATAACTATGTGGAAGGAAAAAATACCTCGTGTAAAAAAATGAAGAGAGACACAACAATTTATTTTATTTATATTTAATCTTCTACACCATTGTTATAAAAAGCGGACTTGACCAGATCGTTACTTCGACTTGGAACCAGTTCAAAATTCATTCGATTATATGTAAAAAAAAATCGGAAATTTAGAACCTGCTAGAACAAACCTAGAATTGACTGGTTTAGCCCAAAATTTTGTTTTTACGTAATTATTTAATTTTTTTTACTGTCTAATCGGCTCTTAAACCCTACTTGTTAGAAAATACGGGTCATGAGTCGCTCATGTGGGATGACCTGATCCACAAGTTATTAAAAGGGTTGGAGGAAATTGTTTGAATTTGAAGTTCAAATATGTAACTCCACCCATACAACTTCCATTCATTATATTTGGAAAATAGAGGGAAGAAGAGGACATGAAACATGGAGTGAAAATTCATATGGAATTTTACACCTAAATTGGAAAGTCGTTAAAACCATATTTTTGGCATGAAATCTTACAAAATTTGACACTTAGATTGTGGATAATAATCCCCTTCCATTGTGATCGGGATTGGGACCATTGGAGAGCAAGGAAATGTAGATTTTGAAACTTTGGAATACAAGATGATTCAACCATGAAAAGATCTTGGAATTCATTTTTTCAAGTAAGTTTCTTGACCCGAAATTCATGTTAAAGAATGCTGCGTATTCTTACACTACCTTATAGAGTTAATGCCTAGACTCATATCTTTAATATTTTTCAAAGTTAGGAAAGATACAACATGATAATCCAATAATAGGATTAGGCATTATCCTTCCAGCTATTGAACATATTTCAAGGAGATCAAACAACTCCATAGTTGTCTTTGTTGCATCATCCCTGCTGACTCCGTAGACGGTTTGTCCGATTATTTGTTAGTTTCTGAGTGTACGTAGTTTTTGAATACACAAAGATATATCCGATTAATTTGGGTTGGTTCAGGCCATCCGAATTAAATGTCATCTCAAAGCATACGAGTGTATGTCTAATTTTAATTGAAATGAAATTAGTCAATCAGAATCGTAAGAGCTTTTACCCTTCTATTTTACACAAGCTTATCTTAGGATACCTACGTTATCTTTTAACAGATGTAACGCCCCAGTCAAACTCTCCACCTAACAATGTCTTTCACTTGGATCGCCTTCGAAGTGAGCCTTGGGTCCAAAAAGAGGGACAATGCGCTCCTCCGATTCACGAAATAAGTAAAATAACGTCAAAAGTAGTGGTATTACACTTTCATCTTTCGGCTCCCACTTATCCTACACCTCTTAACTCATTTCACAAAGTCCGACTAGAGTCAAGTTCAACAGAACTAAAAGTTACTTATAAGCTTATCTATCGCCAGAAGACATTAAAAGTTACTTCTTTTCTAGAAAAAAAAGTGATATCATTTAAATATCGTCTTTAACCAAAAAAAAAAAAGTCATTCCTACTTACCTTTTTTTTTTACAAAATAACCCTAGAGATGACGGGCTGCTTTGATCTACTTCCAAATTAATTTGTAATCTTCTAAGCGCGTTCAAAATTTTGAAGACCACAACATTAAAATTTGACATAGGATCATGAAGTTTGACCTTAAAAAATCAAATTTAACCATTCCAAGATGAAGTCTTGACATTGAAAACATGAAGGCTGCAATAAGAAACCATGAAGTATTGAGTATTGTTTTGTTTATTTGACCAATTTGTAACAACTCTGGAATTCTCTATTTGCCCTATAAGATTAGAGCTTTTAGTGTTGAAATAATCAATATGAAAAAGAGTGCTATAACAACTCTTGTAATCGATTTTTATAAATATTCAGCTTTCGCACGCGCACCCAACTACTTCTATATATATTATATATTTTCGTATGTTTTCGATATAATTTAAATGAATAAGCATGACCCCCCTATAACACCTCGAGGTTTTAAATAACCGTTCTGCAACTGTTATTTGATAGTTGAAAAAAAAAAAACAATTTTCCCTTCGCTCATTTTTTTACAGCACATCAAATATCAAAGAAGATGTAGCATTTTTGTTTAAATGAATTGGATAAAGTCCGACTAACACGTATTTGGAAAAAAATGTTCGCATAAAAAATGAAATAATCTTGCACGTAAGGGACGTTTTGAAGATATAATTTAAATAAATGTGTGTGACGCTTTACTCAAACTTAAACTTTCACATCAATAAGCAATTTCCCTTGTATGGACGGATTTCATGGATGTATAGTTTTCGTTTTCTACAAGTATACAAGAGCAATAGCGAAATAGAAGCAACTCGAGCAATTTGAGGGGGACTTGCATGTTTGAGAGTTGTTTATAAACAATTTAAATTATAAATAGATAAAGATGAGTAATGAATAAGTAAGTAGTATTTCAGAATCTCACGAAATGTATGGATAAAAAGTCATTTGACAGCTTATAAAATAAATCAAAATTACTTGCCGACAACGATACTACGGAGTATGGATTATCACTAATGTACCTCTGGTCTTGGTCATAGTTGCTGATCGTAAATATAAATTATTGGTGTTCGTTTATTCTTTCTTTATTTTTAATGAGTATGTTTGGTAGCCATTTTTCAAGTCAAAAAATTCATTTTTTTACCGTTAAACTTGAAAATCAGTAGCCATTTTTGACTTGTTGTCTCACATGTGGGAGTGGGACCCATCTGTTGTAGTTAACGGTCATTTTTTTTTTGTTGAAAATGGCTCCCAATAATTACCATCTTGCCATTTGATAAGTCACCATCTAAATATCTTTTTCGATAACGTAATATCTTTCTATATTTTATTTATAATATGGCAACTAAATTACTTTTCTAATGCTACTTCTCGAATGAGATTTATTCCGTCAGTATTTAATTTTTATACTTTTTCACACAGACAGGATTTTCCGCCAGTATATTAAATTTATCAAGACTTATTCTTCTCATATTATGAACAGAAACTACGTTCGTAATTTTACTTTATTTTTATTTAATTAAAAAAATCATTACTCTATTTAACAACTAAATTTTGTTCATAATTAAACTTATAAATATTATTTATTTAAAAAAGAAAACTACCACCGAAAAATCTCCAGTATTAATCTTAATTTTTTGTGACCCATGAAATTTTCCCTCAGTAATATTTATTTTTTTATTTCGTTACATTATTTTGTCATAGTATTAAGTTCTCTAAATTTTGGACATAACACCTTTACAAGGCCAGATTCGAAATGCAAGTTAGTAGGCCTTATGATATCAGAAAATTGATAAAAATAGCATTAAAATAGGCAGTATTGATTTTGTACGCTTTCTTTAAACTTCTGAATCTTTAGCACCAATTCTTAAGTTAATATTACCAATTTTTTTGTTGACGCAAGAACCCGCAGTCACTACCCGTCAGCGGAGTCCCAACCACCCCGAAGGGACGGAGGCCAGCCACTGTAAGTGTGCACTAGGTAAACTCTGCTCCATGTACAGTTGCCCGCAAATCACACAAGAGAGGTAAACTGCACTAGGTAAGTCCAGTGAGACGGGCTCGACCGATGAAGTGTTGACAAGGGATTCAAACTCATGACCTTTGGTCTCTGCGTTCACCTGCTCTACCAACTCGACCATCCTCGAAGGGTAAAGTTAATATTACTTGCTCTTTATTGTAGTTGAGAAAACAAAAAGAAATATTTGATGCAGATCAAGAATGTCAATGTGAAGAAAGTTTAAAATAATTCTCGACCTAGATAAAGAGAAGATAAAAATTACTTTTTACGTCGTGAAATCTTAAATTTAATAAACTATAAAGAGCATACAGACTTACATTGGTCGATAGATGTCAAGAATTTACGAGGGGCAAAATGCTGCAAGTTTTCGAATTACAAGTCAATATGCTATAGAGAATGGAATCCTTTATTGCTCATACTTATCGAGAATTAATGTTTATTAAGATGTCAATAAGTAATTTTTTTTAACCCTTATCTGATATAGCATTTGTACATACGATTGATTTTTTGTGGGCCCAATATTGAATAATTAATGCTATCTTGCGAGATCTAACGGGTAGAAAAGGATGGAATTGCCCCTTCATTAGGATGTGTGGATATGAATTCAAGGGCATAACTCAAGGGTGGAGTGAAAATAAAAGAACTGGATAAATGAGATTGACATGTGATTAGTGGGGGGACATTTTGTCTAAATAATTTAATACAATTCCCCACTTTCGAAGTATCAAATTTTGATATGATTTTGATTTCGTTCGTTGAGCATACGAATCTTGAAATTCAAATGTACATTCATATTTCAGATGGGCGCTCTTGTTTAAGTTATGGACAGTCAAATTCCAATCAGTTGTCACACTTTGGATCCTAGCATTGACGCGTAAACCTACTCACAGAAAGTGAGCACGACAAAGCATTGTAATGTGGCTATATGCTGGGGGACAAAATGCAAGAATGCAAGTGAAACCCATCACATGGATTTCATAGCCAAAAGTCCAAAACCTCCACCAATCACTCACGAAACGCAAGAATGCAAGTGAAACCCATCACATGGATTGCATAACCATGCAGTTGAATTTTCAACTCAAAGATTTACAAGTTATGTTCCAAGAACAACATTTTCCTCGGTGATGCAAATATACTTACAAAGTTACTTACAAGTTGAACATAACCTGCCTAATCACTTTCTTTCATCTACCACTCTTGGGTTTCCCTAGCAAATATTTTCACATGTTTGGTCGGGATTGAAATCAAAATTTTAATAGATTTTGATAAAAATTGATGAAATGTATAGTCGAAAAGTTATG